AAAACATTTTACTTGTATTGACAAGATGAAGCATTGATCAAATTTGTATGAAGGCAGGTCTAGTGGTTTCGGCGATCTAGGGGAAAAAGTAAAAAAAATGCCATTTGGCGATCAAAAATGATCATTGGACATATGCACATCAATTATCAGATATTTTATAGAGATTTTAACCATGAGTATAAATTTTGTTTGCATTACGACGCGCGCTAGGCGCTTCGATATAACGTATCTATGCAGTTGAAGCAGTACGATAGCTTTGAAAAAAAGTTCAAAATTTCCAAAATATTTCAAAATAAAGAAAACATTTTTTTTTTCAAAAAAAAGGAAATTTTTGTCAAAATTGTTAATCTTTTAAAAAAAAAAAATTTTTGGTACGAGAAGTTCTTTAAAGCAATTTGCCTTAAAGCACGATGCTACGCGCCCCACTAGTTTCCTATAATAATAATATTAATAAAGCACTTATTACAGATTTAGTTCAAAAATAGTTTATCTACAGTAAATGAATTTAAAATACCTATCTTTAGTGCTTAATTTATATAATTCTTTTATGTATCTAATATGTATAAATAAACATATTTTTTTGTTTCATATATTGTGGTGAAAGTAGGGCAGATATTCCTATTTAATACGCAGAATCTTTTGCACAGCATATTAATCTAACATTTATAAATCAGCAATTAATTATTATACTAATGTAGAGATCTACTGATCTTTTAAAATCTTCTAATGTAAATATAAAAGGAAAGATTTTAAATGCAGTTTATTCTTGCATTTTGACTATATAGTCCAGTCATTATAGTAAGTTCACCTCGGAATTCGAGATACTCAGCTGTAAGTCTGTAATATTTATACATTACACCCCTAAAGTTGTTTCAAAACTTACATATGATATTGAAACCCTACCATATGTAGGTTTTGAGATAACTTTAGGGTGTCAATATACAAATATTTGCAGACTTACAGCTGGGTATCTCAAATTCCAAGATTCTTAACTAATTTAAGCTTAAATGACTGTACTAATAATAATTATTGATTGACACAACTTGTGCACAATATAATGATTAAGAATATATCCCAAAAACAACCCTTTAGCTTGATAGTTCAAAATAAAATAATGCTTGTATCAAAATTCTTCACATAAGTCATTATTTAAGAAAATGTAATATTCAACAGTACTATAGCCCCCGACTTACTTTTTAATTTTGAATTGTCCAACAGAAGTATCTGAATCGAATATATCATCATCATTTATACCAATTTCATAATAAATTTCTTCTAGTTTTTTAGAATTGTTCTTAGGGACAATTGTTCCATCCGATATTAAAAACTCATTATTCCAATACATTTCTGAACCGCTCAATAGATTCAGATCCTTCACAATATCATACACGATATTTCCTTCTTCTCCATGACACCTGCAGAAAAGAAAACTAAAATTAATAACAATAAATAAAATTTACATAATTGAATCTGTAAACAATAACATGCAGCTATGAAAAAATAAAAATCAGCAATATAGTTCATCGAATGTTGACAGATTTTTATAAAACAATTATTAATACAATAATTATTGATAGTATCATTTATAATTGAGTTTTTACATGCCATTGTGCTCCCAAATCTACTGTGTTGTTGTTGAAATTTGTGGTATAAATTCTACCACCAATTCTGTCACTGGCTTCTAATATAACTACATTTTTTTAAGCTTTTTTATTAATTTAACAGCAGCCGCTATTCCTGCTGCACCTGCTCCAATAATTATAATATTTTTTGCCATTTATATATTTTTAGGTTATGTCAGTTTCAATATTATTTTGCTGCAACGAATAAGGAAATATATTAATATAAGCAACACAATCTGTTTTTGGAAAAGTTATCTAATTTTCATCTACTAAATTCAACCTTTATTTTATATGTACCTTACTCATAAGCTTAATTATAGCTTAAGAATGTAAACAATTTAACTATCATTTTTTTATTTTATTTGTTTGCTTTATATGTATTATGTGCATTACATTATCTTAAATGTCATCTGATAAAAGGTGCCAAATGTAAATATAATATTGTCTAGGATGTGCCAAATAAAAATATTTAAAGATAAAATTTAATCTTCTAGTAATTTGCACCATGGTCTCTGAGCATATAAAAAACATGGATAAATAAACCTTGAAGAAAAAAATAAATTGAATAATTTGAAATAAATATGTCCTGAATGACATATTATTATAATGGTTAATATTAAGTTTATTAGACATATATATTGAATATATATTATATTATATATTATTACATTACTTACATAAATAATTAATTCAAAAAATCGATTTTCAAATACCGCGGTTAAATAGTAAAAAAAAAACGTTAATTTCAAAATTCCAGTGAAGAATATTAAAATTAATTTTAAAATTATAATTATAACCTGCTGCATTTATTTTTATGCACATTAAATAAGCATAAAAAATTGGCAGGTCATTGATAATTATCAATGGCCTGCTGAATATTTTTTTTTATTTTTAAAAAAATTCTAAACAAATCAGAACATTATTTTCCACAATTTTGTTAAATAGTTTGCAAAAAAATGCATAATATGTATATACTTTATGCAATTTTTTGCCAAATGGTTCACATTTATTAAGGATATAAAAACCTATTAAAAAAAATGCTAATTATTTGAGTTTTTGTCCTTAATATTTACAAAATTATGTCGTTCTGGTTAGTGCATTTTATATATGTAAGTTACACCTAAATAACAAATAATTATTGAGTTATTCATTTTTATTGAATATGAAATATATACAATTAGTAAAAATATAGTGCAAAGAGAATTGGTTATTGTTGATAAAAGTTTTCTACATAAGTATATCATTTGTATCAAAATTTTTAACTTTGAAAATTGGTTGAAATTTAATTTTCAATTTGCAATTTTTAATGTCATTGATTAAATTGTGCTTTGTGCATACATCAGCCTAGATAAAAAGATTGGCACATGTTTCAAGTATTATTATTTAACTATAGTTTAATAAACATTACTATCACAATTTTTATATTGAATATTTCTTATCGATTCAAGTATTATTTCTGCTTGTTCAATACCTGTCTTCATAGCACCGTGTGTTGTAGAGAAGAATTGTTCACTGCACGCTTCACCAGCAAATAAAATTCGGGGCTGTCCATTTTTGTCTAAAATTGGTGAAGCTAAATCCTTCCACCCAGTATTATTTTTATCACAGATAGGTCTAGTATGACTATATGATCCCAAAGTGTGAGGATCGGTATGCCACTTGCTCCTTTGAAAAATAGTAATAATGTTTTGACATGTATAAATGTATTATTTGGACCTCATTATTTATTCACCTGTACACTCGGCATGGTGTTGGTACTGGAATCTTCAGAATTTTTCGAAGTAATGTGACACAATCTTTAGCTATTTCATCTGCTGATCGTTCTTCAACTAGGATTGCGCCCCTGGCTCCAACCCATCCAACTAAAGTATTAGTAGCCCCTGGATATAAAACATCAAATCCAGACATGTCGTAAACCCAAGAGCTAGCCTGAAAGAGAATTACTTATTTATTACAAATTTAAATTTATAATTTTAACAATATTCATATAATCAGAATTAAAGAATTTGAAAATAAAATTAATGAATTTTATACTGACTTCATCAGGTTTACACTTTGATTCTGCATCAAACCATACAAATTGAAATCCCTCATTATCATTCCACCAAGCTTCTTCAAATTGTAAAAATATTTTATTGATCGTTGCAAAACCCATGTCTTCAATGGCTTGTGTAACATTTTTTGGTAAGCTGGGTTTAAACCAATTTTTATAATTCTTTTTTAATACTCCTAAAGATACAGTAACTATCACATAATCTGCATTGTATTCAATATTATCCATTGTGCAAACCTTGACACCATTTTCTGACCACTGTACAGATACTACTTCTTTATTAAATTCTAAAGTTTTTTTGGGTAAAGTATTACATAATTTTTCTATAACAGTACTATATCCGTGAAGGTAATTTATATGAGCTTGAGAATTCTCCCCTTCAAAGGAATATTTACCCCATGCTTTTGCTGACAAATCTTTCAAAGAAAGACATGAATTATCAATTATTTGAAATCGAACATGCCACTCATACAAATATTTTTTAATTAGGTTCATCTCAGCAGTGTCACTTGAACAAGTAGCTAAATACTTATCAAATTCTTCTTTTAAATAATTCTCCACGCTGTCTGGGTAATCACAACTTTCATTTTCAGCAAAAGCTTCCAAATTTTCCAAAATTTGACCCACAATGAAATCAATTTTATTTACAACACTATCGTTTATTGTTGCACCATATTCGTTTATATAAAGTCCTTGTCCCTCCATAGACGTTTTGTCTGATAATAATTTATAATGATCTGATACTTTAAATAAAGCATTTTTTGAACCATGTAACCATTGTGCACCAGCTTCCACAAAGTCATTTCCAAAATTTACAGTATTTATTCTACCACCTGGTCGAGATTTAGCTTCTAGTATTTTAACTGAGCATATTCCATCAGATTTAATTGAAGAATTAATAAATAATTTAGATAAATTGGTTTTAAGTAAGGTATGAGCAGCAGCCAGACCAGATATCCCAGCACCAATTACTAAAACGTTTTTGGATGAGGTGATACAATCAGATCTGCAGAAAAAATTTGAAGCCTTGAAGATTGAAGAAAAACATGACTACCATGCAATCTCATGCATCTACACCATCACCAAAACCAATATTTAAATAAATAATCTTTTACTTAATTATTTTGTTTAGAAAATATGGGTAATAGGATATAAATTCCTCAACCAATGGATTAAGAACAACATGTATAGAATTTTTACATACAAATGTATACTATGTACACAACAATTTATATTAGAACCCAAGAAGAATTTACTTTAATAACTATAGTTAGTCACACCAAGTTCAGAAAATATATGTTATATGTATTAATGTATTATTTTACATATATCATGTTTTTATTTGAACAGAAATATTAAGTTGTAAAATAAAAAAATAATTGTAAATGGTATTTTGCTTTATGGCAAGTTGCATGAACTTTCAGACACGTGTAAATAATAATCGACTTATTAATCTCAGATTTAGAGGAATCTGGTACCTTTACAATTTTTATCCAAATGTAAAAATACATGGAATTTTACCAAACTTGTAAAATATATCTTCATTTTTAAATGATTTCATGTGTAAAAATAATGTAAGTAGTAATAACAGTAAATAAATTATTCAAAATATACAGTGTCTTAATATGAGAGAAGTATTACTGAAAATTTATTCCAAATACATTATAAAAAGATCCATATTAGTAATGAAGAAAAACTTAATTTTAAAATTTATAACTATGGTTATTAATTTAAAATAATACAGGCATTTTACATGAACATGCACATAAAGCATACAGAAAGTTTGACAAAACTAACCACAACATATAATTTTATTATCCTGATCTGCCATTTCTCATCACTGACCTCAAACTGTTTGGATTCAAACTAATTATTCTGGTAGCTTCTCTGAAACCACTTTCCACAGCACCATGAACTGTTGAATAATAGTTTTTGCTGGTTGCTTCTCCACCAAATAAAATAGCTGATCTAAAATATACAATGATACAATCAATGACCATCTATGATGTGATTACGAACTCTATGAAAATTCAAATTACCGTCCCAAAGAATCAATAACTGGTTTAGATAACTCAAAAGAACTTCTCCATATTTTTCAGTTTTCAGTAAACGTAATGAATATGATCCTTTACTGTATGGATTTTCACCCCATTTACTCCTATAAAAGATATAAATTAACTATATTTTGGTAATAAAAACATCAACAATAAAATGATGATTAATAAAATCATCATATACTGGAACATATAAACAAAAAGTACTAAATAACACTAATACCAATAAATCTAATTACAAATAATTTACCTAAGGATTTCAACAGGATCACTATAAAGTATTTTGCTTTTCTTTCTGTGTTTTGCAACAAATCTTCTTAATAGGTCAGAGCATAATCTCAGTACTTCTTCATCACTCAAAGATTCCATAATTTTTGCTGAAGGACCAGTTACCCATCCGCAAAGTACATCTGGGCATTGGTCAACAGTAAAAAAGCCAAATACATCAATAAGCCACTTATGTTCTTCATTCTATATTTTTTATTTTTATTATTATTAATTTGTTGAATACAACTAGTCAAATGTTAAATGCAAACCTCCTTATCATCAGCAGTCCATAATAATCTGATGCCATTCCAATCAGGAAGCCACCAATTTGACTCAAATCGAAGATATATTTTATCAACGACGCCAAAACCTAGATTATCTATGCATTTAAGTTTATATTCGGGCAAGGCTGGTTGAAATAATCTTGTGCTGAAAAAAAAGATAGAATAAATATCTCACATTATATATAAAATTATAAATAAACATATTTGATTAGATTTTATTCAGGTCTCAAAAAGAATTTTTTTTACTTATTTTTGAGGACTCCCAAAGGTACAGTAACTATGACATGATCAGCATCGTAAGAAGAATTATCCTTGCATTTTATAGTCACTGGTTTCTTAGTTGTAGGCTGGTCCCATTCTATAGAAGTAACTTCTTTTTGAAATCGTATGTCTAAATTCAAATCCTTTTCCTTATCTGGGTATTTTTCCTAAAAATAATAAAATAGCTTAATATACTAATTGTAAGTTAAAATTCAATGATTGTGTGTAATTCAATATAATTTTCAATTAATTTACATATTTAATAAAATGTATAAAAATGGAACATATTAATATTGTATGTGTAAAATAGTCTTAGTTTTTTATTTTTAATACAAGACTAATTCATTTTTAATTTATCTATTTATTTAAATTGCTGAATATACACAAAATATTGAGGATTATTAAAGAAAGTATTGATTTTTTTAAACAACCTATACTAACTTTGTTAGCTTGATAAGAAATCTAGAATAGATTAAATTTCAATGGTTTCTTGTAATTCATACCATTAAGACTTCTAGAAATCTAATATATCCAGCACCTTTCCAATTCAATAATGGATGTCCAGGGCATTCAAAATATTCTAATGATCCTTTAGCAGAACTTTCAAACCAATTGTCGGATGCATCAACACTATTAACACATTTATGGCACCACTCTAAGTATTGTTCAGCGAGAACTGTATCGATTAATTGATATTCAGTTTCCTTTAAAATATTGTAATATCTAAAATATAGTAATAAATTATGTAAAATAAAAACAGCATTATAATAATACATGTTACAGTAGAAGTTTATTAGTCCGGCACACTTGGGACCGGCCTAGGTAACGGACTATCAAAAACACCAGACTATCAGGAGGTGCCAAACAGTCCAGAGTACAAATTGGTGCAAAACAGTCTTTAAAGAAGGCAGCAGTCATTAGCACATGACAAAACGGTTAATCTGCCTTTGTTTTTCCTCTAAATAGGATTTTTCTCCTCCCCAGTTAAATTATTTCAACAATCAGAAATTTCTGAAACTAATCCTTATATTTTTCTGCAGAGGTTTGAATTTTATCTAAAAACTTAAAGTTTCTGAGCCAACCATCAGAATAATTACATACATTTTCAGCAATCTTGGACAAAATGTTTTACTTTTTCAACAATCATTGGACTTGTTACCGGTATTCCTTGCAAATGTACTGCACTAAATCATTTGAACAGTACACTATATAGGAGTTTCAGTTTGGATTTTCAATGTTTGTCTAGAAGACAATGTTTCAATTGTTACCAAATGAGTAGCAAACATCATCTGTTTAAAACATTTGACATATTAGCTGCCGTCCATTGTTTCACTTTAATTACGCTTCTACAAACATTTCTAATTAAAAATTTTTCAAGACTGGTCATTTTATTTCATCCGTATATTTTATATTTTAGAGTTTTACCAGACCTAACATAATACTGAGCTCCATTTTTATATATAAGATAAACTCTTGAAAAAACAATTGAAATTGTTCCAGACTATCGGGCATTCTGGACTGTTGGGTGCCGGACTAATAGACTTCTACTGTATATAAATTTGGTTAAAATAACAAATATTCAGATAATATAATAACTGTAAATTATTAAGTTTTAAGTATTCATCGATCGTGCAATTTTGAATATTGTAATATTGATTACTATTAACACATTTATGTGTAAAAACAGTATAGCTTATACAATTAATTTTAAATGCTGGTTAATTTGGAATATATTACCAATCTCATGAGTTTTAATCATTGAAAATATTGTCAATGTGTAAATATTGTATGAAGTATTAAAATATATTTTCTTTATACTTATTTGTCACGTATTGTCCAACTGACAGGTCAGGATCTATTATATCATCCTCATTGATAGCAATCTTTAAATAAATTTCTTCAAGTTTTTTAGAAATGTCTTTGGAAACTGTTGTTCCATCTGATATGAGAATTTCATTATTGAGGAACATTTCTGAACTACTTAATAGATTCATATCCTTCACTATATCATGTACAATATTTCCTTCTTCTCCGTGACACCTACAAAGGTAATATTTGTTATATACTGAAACAATACATAATACAGCAACATTCTTTAGTGTTATGTAATAAAATTTGCCATTCAATTTGTTCTTCAAATCATTGTTTTAGAAAAGAATTAATAGAGGAAATTTTGATGGATCTTTACAAACCATTGTGCTCCTAAATCAACTGTGTTGTTTCCAAATAATGTTGTGTGAATCCTACCACCAATTCTATCACTAGCTTCTAAAATAATCACATTTCTTAAACCATTTTTATTCAATTTAACAGCAGCAGATATTCCTGCAGCTCCAGCTCCGATAATTACAATATTTTTTGCCATTTGAACTAACTTTGAGGTTATGTTTACAATTTTAATTTTAAAAGAATTAACTGCAGTGTTTGAAAAACTGTGAGGGTCAGTGATTCTCAAAATTTTTCTTATATTGGTCGCGCCGAAAGAAAGAAGCAAAACTAAAAAAAATATAATAAAAAAAACTGGTCAGAGTAATAATAAAAAAATGATGTGTTTTTGTTTTAGAAATCAATACGATAAAAATTTATAATAAAATATAATTATAACGTTATATAAAATATATCTTATAGTGTTATAATTAAATTTAATTACAATGATAAATTATAATTTAACAAATGGAGTACTCAATAAACCCATAAATTTAAAATTTATTTTATTCTGTAAATTTATTACATTTATCACAAACTATCAAAGTCAAAATGTCAGTATGTCTATTAAAATTTATTAACCAATTTTTAACTTTACACTCGCTATTCTGCCATAATTTTCTAAACGTTTCTATGAATTAATTATCGCAAGCGCACTATAAATACAATATTGTAAAAAAATTATGTAAACTAAAGATAAGATTTGCGTTATTATTTCCTATTAAACTACTCAATAAAATATTAGATTAGAAGTTATGGTTTGTGTATTTATATTTATGCAATGCTATCGAGATTTTCTGACCACAAATAATAAAACACTTACCATAATAATGTTTATTCGAAACTTTATCGATATTTTTTTAATTGAAATTTGTAATTGTATTTACTATTAAATCTGGAATAATAAACTAGTAATTTTTATACATTATTTATGATTAAGCTTAAATATAAAAGAAGTAGAAATACAGTTTGGACAAATAATACTGACTTAAATTTCAATTCCACCCTTATGGGTACAGTATACTTATAACATTTTTTTATTAATTATTTTTTGCTAAAATATTAATATATATTTTCAAAATTATGTCAAAGATTGAGTATTCACTTTTGAATTATCAAAGATCGTAGAAGTAGATAACCAAAAATTGTAAATGTAGTTGACAATTTTCAGAAGGAATTGTTAAAGAAATATATACAAAAATGATTTTTACATTTTTTTTACAAAAGTATTGACTTATGTTCTTATAAAACTTTTAATATCTTTTATCTAATTATTCTATTAATTTTTTCTATCTATTCATTTTATTAATTTGGCAGCATTCTCAATGCTTTGCTTTTTGCTTTATTCGAATAATTCTACAGTTTAATTTTACATAATTAGATTAATTATTTCAAATTAAGACCATATTTGGCATAGAAATGATATACAAACAAATATGATATATAAATGAGTCATGATTTCTTTGTAAAAAAAAATAAACAAGTATTTTTTGAAACAAAACTATAGTATTCACAATAGCTATATTTATCTCATGAGTATAATAAATTCCACATGTGAAACAATTATTTTTTGTTAATTTATTAATATTCATCACTGGCCATTCTTTGTGCTTTTGCTGAGATTAATTATTCTATTAGCTTCTCTAAAACCGCTTTCGGTAGCTCCGTGGACCGTTGAATAATAATTCTGACTCGTAGCTTCTCCAGCAAATAAAATAGCTGACCTGAAATATTTCATAAAATATTCTAATTTACAGGGGTTTTTTCATACGAGCACAAACTGTTTACAAATTGATCAAAACTGACAACATGCAACTGATTCAAACATTTGCAGATTTAGTTAGTTTGTAAATTAGAATTGAACGAAACCAGGGTGTTCCAGAACTGAATGTCAAGCCGAAAGAAATGAAGTATGATGTTACAATGCTACAATAATTCATAATGGGCTGTAACTTGGCAAAATTGCTGAAACTATAATTATAAAAGAAATCTCAGAAGTCCTCATGGTTCCGGTGCGAGCTAAAAATTAATACATTTTTTGGATATAATTCTATGCTGTACAATTTTGTCAAAGGTAATTTTGCGATGAAAGTGACGAATCGATTATGAAAATTTAAAAACCGTTCGAAAGATATTGGTTGGGAATCGTGCTGATTAGTTTTTGGTAGAGATCGGCCGGGCCGTTTTCTGGTAATAAAGTGTTAAAAAAAATTTTTCGACGATTTTTATTATTACTTTTTTAACGATAGATACATATATAAATAAAGAGCAAATATCTACAGACCTTCCTGATGCATCAATGACAGGTTGTGATAATTCTGTAGAACTGCCACCAAAATTTTCAGTTTTTAGTAGTCGAAGCGAATAAGAACCTCGGCTATATGGATTTGTTCCCCATTTGCTTCTGTAATAAAAAAAATAAACCATAAGGATAAAAAAATTGATAAACTTATAAGCAAGTAAAATCATATCTTTCCAGAAAAGACAATCACAAAAAAACAACATCAAAACAACATCGCATTGCGATCTTGGACATCGCCGCGCCGAAGTCATTTTTGTTGTATAGAACGTTCATTGAGCGCGGAGTAATGTCACATTTGCGATATTAATTAATAAGATGTTTAATTTAAATAAATGAGTGCACGTACCTTAATACCTCAACAGGATCGCAGTACCTTTTAGCAGTTTTTGATTCATATTTTGTCACAAATTTTCTTATTAAATCTGAACATATTTGTAAAACTTTTTCATCGCTCAAAGACTCCATAATTTTTGCCGAAGGACCAGTCACCCAACCGCAGAGCACATCGGAACATTGATCCACGGTGTAGAAGCCAAATACATCATCCACCCATTTTTCTAATTCATTCTATCAAAAAACATATCTACAATTATACGGCATAATGTATTTTATAAATACTTTCAATAATATAAGTAAAGAATAAAAACCTTTTTAAGTAATTCCTCTCTATCTTCAACAGTCCACAATAATCTGATACCGTTCCATTCAGGAAGCCACCATTTGTTTTCGAAGCGAAGAAAAATTTTATCGACAGTGCCAAAACCCAGATTTTCTATACAATTTTTTTTGTACTGTGGCAAATTTGGTGTAAATAATGTCGGACTAAAAAATAATGCTGGCAAATTTTTTGCGTTTGAGTAACAATTTATTTACATCACCTATAGTCACCTATTTTTAAGCACTCCTAAAGGAACAGCAACGATAACATGATCTGCCTCATATGTAGAATTATCTTTACATTTTATTATTACAGATTTTTTTGCTGTCGGTCGCTCCCATTCTATTGATATAACTTCTTTATGAAAGCGAATATCTAATTTTAATGCTTTGTTTTCATCGGGATATTTATTCTGAAAAATAAATAAATAAATACTATCAGAACCATTGACAATTAAGAGAAAAGTTTTGCTACTAAATATATTTGCATTAATTAAACTAGATTTACCATAATAACTTCTAAAAATCTCAGATATCCAGCGCCTTTCCAATTCAACAAAGGATGTCCAGGACATTCGTGATACTCCAAATATCCTTTTGCAGAGCTTTCGAACCATTTATCAGAAGCATCATAGCTATTGTGGAATCTATGGCACCATTCCAAAAATTGTTCACTAAGGGTCTCATCTACATCTTGATATTCATTTAATTTCATAAGTTTATAATACCTAGTTCAAATAAAATAAATTGCATGAATTAGTAATTTTGTTGGAATAATGTATTTGTAATTAATTAATTTTTTGTCTCTGGAATCAACAGATTTAATATTTAAAAGATAATAAGATAATTGATTGTGATTGATAAATTATTATACTATACTATTTAGGATACCATAATAATTGAGATTTTTGTTTATATAGATACCACATATATCACATATTCTTACCATGAAGTATTACTGTAATTAAGTATATTGTAGTATTAGAATATCAAACTTTATATTCGGCTAAATGACAGATGAGATGTTAAACGAAACGTATAGGAATTAATTTATCGAAATTCACAATTTTTATTGATGCATCGCCCAATCATTAGACCTCGACTCTTATATATTAAGTATATCAACTATATTCTACATTATGATTTTAGTAATAAATTTATTTTTTTCTTACATATTGCAGCTTTTAATTCCATTTTTAGTTATAATTATAAGTTTAAGAATTAGATGTATTATATTTTATTAGAATACAAAACATTGCAAAAATGTACAACACCAGAAACTGGTTAAAAATGCATCGCACTTAACACAGAAGCAACCACTTTCTTCGTCCTCGTCTTGTAATTGTTCAGCAGAATTTGCACTTGTTTTATCATCGATCATATTGTTATTTTCGCAAATGTATTAAATATTTTTGCAATCAGTATATTAACGAGCGAGGTCGGAATAATATAAAATACTATAATTTGATGAATTGATAATTAGACATTTTTAAAATGTTATCTTATCATAATTAATAATGTTTTATCTTTATGTAATGATAATATTTATCGATTCGATTATAATAAATTGTTAATTTATATAATGAATAGTATCACAAATATTCACGTGAAATGCATGTATGTGTATTAACTTACGTACAATATCTTTTTACTTTTAGACTGCACATAAAATAAAACTGAAGATTTGAGCACATACTTATATTGGTTATTAATTAAAGAATACACTGCATGAATTACTCAATCAATAATAAATACAAACAATTTGCAAGTCATTTTTCCTGATACGTAAAACTGACTTATTGAGATTTAGATATTTAGAACATGCTTCGACTGCATATTCCGAAAATAATTTTTTTGCTTTTATTAAAAATCATCATTGATTGCTATCAATGCAATTTCCAATCGATATCATTCGAAGAAACTTATAATATCTGTAATTGTATTAATTACGGTGAATTTTTGTGATATAAGGCATCGTGCCTTAAGTCAAATTGCTGGAACTTCCCGCAGCATGTTTTCATATAAATATATTATAATGTTACATTGTCTAATAATATTTAATTATAAAAATTATATAAACTGAATTACAAAGTTAAAATTATTTATTTAAAGTATGTTAGAACTTCAGCCAGAAATAAAATTAAAACTTGAATTATTTTTGATATTGAAAAAAAAATATTGAGAAAAAAATTTGAAATTTTTTTTTTTCCAAAAGCAATTAATTTGTCAAAACAAGCAGAGTCTTTTGAACCATTCAAATCGGGTTCTTAGTTCTCTCAAAATCTACTAATCACAAATTCTCGCCATCATTATGAATTGAATGTTTTCTAGATTATTCAAATCAGATGCTCTGTTCTCTCAAAAACTCGATTTCTATTTTCTGCACTCGTAAGAATTATCTAAACTGAATTGCAAAGTTCAAATCATTTATTTAAAGTATATAAGTGAGCTTTGGAACTTTAACTAGAATTAAAATTAAAATTCGAGTTATTTTCGTTATTCAAAAAAATGAGAATTCTCAAAATATATTTGAGAATATATTCTCAAAAATACTCTCAATAAAATTATATTTTTTTTCCCAAAAGCAATCGTTTCGTCAACACAAGCAGAAATTAAGTTTTCTGAATCATTCAAATCGGATGCATATTTCTCTCAAAAACTGCCACTTTTTACACACTTAGCTTTGCCAAAATTCCGAAACGAATTGAATGTGTTTTGGATCATTCAAATTGGATTCTCCGTTCTCTCAAAAACTCGATTTTCTGCACTCTTTTCTCCGTATCTCCGAAATGGCTGGACCTGCCTTTGCCAGAAACTAATCAGCACATCTCCCTATCAATAGTTCCGTGCGTCCGAAGACGTGGACGAAACAATACGGACACACAAAACACACACACATCCATTTTTTCTGAAGTATCCCAAAATGTTCAGAAACCTCTAAAACGTGAAGATATGCAAAAAAAATATTTTCGATTTTTGGCTCATTACTATAACTTACTCGACCCTAGGTTAATAAAAGGTAATATACATAAGTGGTCACCCCAAAAGTCCATGGCAACCAATGGCAATTGCATGTTAACATTCAAGGGGTCTATGACAACTTTCAAGGGGTCCATGACAACTTCAAGGGGTCCATGACAACTTCAAGGAGTCCATGATAACTTTCAAAGGGTCCATAACTACTTTCAAGAGGTCCATAAAAACTTTTAAGAGGCCCACAAAAACTTTCAAGGCGACCATGTCATCGAAAAATTTGAGGGAGGAGGCAGTAAATAAAATTAGGGTTCGCGGTAGTTGATCACAACACACCATAATAATTTATATTTAAATATTTTATAACTACTTTACTAAATATTTTATAACTACTATAAGTAATTACTTATAAAGTTGCTATGGTTCCCTTGAAACTTGCCATAAACCCTTGGGAGACCACTTTTGGAATCACTAGGTTAGACCAAGAACTCAATCAGCATGTTAATATCCACTAAAAACGCCAAAAAATCACATAAAAATGTTTAACTAAAAACAGCAAGCACAATCCCCAATTGATATCGGTTTTCAAAGTTTTCAAAATTCGCAAAAACGCGGATGAATATTTTTGCGCTTTTGCTAATTCTAATTTTTCTTATTATTATATTAAACGACTCGACCGATCGTTTCGCTACGCGAGCCCATATCGAAATTTTCTCTCGTTGGTCTCAAACTATTCAGAATGACTGTAAACGTCGAGAAAATACAATTAGCAATTCGGTAAGCGCCGTTCTACAAACTTTATCGATTTGAAAAATATTAAGCCAGTGGTTAGTTGCAACATCAAATTGTATTTTTATAACTTCTATATAAGCATTATAATGATAAAAATGGTCGAACTCAATAAATTTTACATGAATTTGATTAGAATATATTAATTTGAATAACTTACATTTTTTACAAATAGTTAAGTAGTTGTAAGTAGATGCAGTAAAAATTAATTATTGCATAACGAAAAACATTCTGCAAACAGTTCAAAACACGACAAACAAAGTAAACCTAAATCACAACACTCAGCATAACAATCATCCTCTTTTTCTTCCTCTCGTTTTTGATCGGTAGCATTAACCTTAGTTTCATTATCATCCATTTTGCAAAATTGTAAAAAAAAATTCCAATTAATTTTTGCGTAAGAACTGCTCATAGTTTCTGTTAATTTGGCCTTTTACGTGTATTTTTATCTTGAATAAACTGTATTATCATTGACGTGATTAGATATTTATCGATTTTCATAAAAAAAATATTAAAAAATGAAAAATTATCAAATCCAATTCAAGGAACCGTATTTGGTATTTTAACTCTCTAAATGAAATAGAGAATTATTTATGATAAAGGGTATGGGCGTGTTACCATACAGAATAGGCCCCACCCTGGTATTTGAATAATTTTGATGCTATTTTATCGGTCTTTTCGAGAAAATTAGAAATACCAAATTTCAAATCCGTAGCTCATTATTTGGTCGAGATATCAGTGAAAACATGTGAAAGTGGTCTCTTTTTTCAAACTCACCTTTTGTCGGAAATATGAGAGATATCAAAAAAATATTAACGTCATTCTATTTATACAGATCTTGTCTATGTTGTTTATAATAAATAATGTGAAAAAATTATTTGTGAGTGCGGTTAAAGGTGAAAATGATTTTTTATTTTCCATTTTCTACTAGTGCTTCTTTTTGGACTACTTTTAAATTAGCATCATTCGAAAGCCAGTACATTTTTCTTCTGTTATTCAAAAATTCATTTAAATGTAGGCGGAACTTCATGGTGAAAAGTTGCAAAAACTTAAGCAAGTATACGCGCTGCCGGTACAAAAACACCCATATAAAGTTTTCACTTTTACCGCTTTACACGTACATACTTTTTCCAAATTTGGTCTCATTCTACCCGGAATGACTAAAAACGTCGAGAAAACATAAAATCTCTTTCGGTAAGTTAAATATAATTTCAATCGAATTTTCATTAAAAATGTGGAAAATATTTTCTAACAAAACATTGCACATTTATTACATAAGGTAACAATGATACATAACTTTGCAACTATCGATATACATTGCGCGTACATTACACTTAGTTAACATTTGCTATATAACTTTGCAACTAAGAGTTACATTGCGTTTATATTACATTTAGTTAACATTTGTTATATAACTTTGTAACTAACAAGTTTCATTACGACAACAGGTAGTGTATACCAATTTGTAATGGTGGGAAAAATTGATGATTAGTTTTTGGCAAAGGCAGGTCCAGCCATTTCGCAGATACGAAGCTAAATGTGCAAATACTTTTAATTGTTCAGATAAATTTATACAAAACAATATGTAAATTTATTAATTGCTAATAAAACGATATATAATTCGATATATAAAATAATCATAATAAAATAAAATAGTTCTGATAATTTTTTCTTAAATTTCAGGAGTCTGACTAGCCTATAGTCCAATTAAACCGTTCAAAAACACGAATTTGCGATATATCGATGATAAGAATTATTAAATGCTATTCCAAAATAATTATTTCTGATCTTACTTGTTGATCATGAACTGCCCGAGTGATAAATCAGAGTTTATCATCCCGTCGTCTTTTGATGCAATTTTGTGATAAAGATTTTCAAGTTTCCTAGAAATGTTTTTGGGAACGATTGTTCCATCTGAAACCAAAAATTCATTGTCGTGGTACATTTCAGAGCCACTTAACAGATCCATGTCCTTCACTATATCGTATACAATATTTCCCTCTTGGCCATGGCACCTGGAATAAAATAAAAATAGTTATAGCTGGATTTATAATTATAGTATTACACATTTATTCCGATCTAATCATTTATAATCGAAAGTGTAATGACTATAGTTCAAACTTCAAAGATCAAAATTAATTAATTAATTATGATTAAAAATTTAATTGAATCGGCTAATTGTTTATATTTATAATTAATTAATTAATTTTGATCTTGGAGGTTTGAACCATAGATGGCATGATTACACTTTTGCACATAAATGATTAGATGGGAATAAAATGGTGTACAGCTAACTTAAGTCGCTGATGAAATCCAAAATATTAGCTTTTAATAAATACTACATAAACAGGTATAAGTGGCATTTTGCACTTATATTTTGCATTAGAGCAAGTTGCATAAACATCCCGACATGTGTTAATAATTGACTTATACAATTTAATCGAATTAAAATTTAGCAACTTTTGAAATGGTGATCAAATAAACTGTTTAATTCCAAAATAACATTCACTTTTCACTAAAAACTAAACAACCCAATTTCTAATTGGTATCTTTGCACGAAAACGCGCTTATAGAATATAGTGTACGTTTTAAAAGCGCGGTCCATTATATATTTCAAACTTTTATGAATTTTAATAATTACTTCACTAGTCGTAGTTCTATAATATTTAAGGATATTCGTTTAAACATTGAACTCTATCACCATACGTTTTATCAAAAATTGTCACAAAATATTTCAAAAACCGGCCCGGCCGAAAAACTATACCGCGATTCCCAACTGATTTTTTTCGAATGGTTTTTAAATTTTCAACAGAAACGAGTGGCGTATTTGCCTTAAGGCAAATTGAAGGAACTTCCCGTACTTAAATAAACAAAACTCAATCAATCGAATTTAAATTGAAGAACATAGTCTAATATTTATAAGAATTATATAAACTATATTTATTCTTATATAATAACTAGCAAACGCGACGAACTCCGTTTCGCCACCAGATGGTTTCGTGAGAAAGATGAAGAAATTTTCTGTTTGTTTTATATTTGAAAAGGAAAAATTTGATTTTATTATACAAAAGTAATGAATTTATTTCGATTACAAAAATGAAGTATTTTTTAGTTGAACTTCTCTAAGTAAATGAAAGTGAATCCGGAAATTATCCGTTTCATTGAAGCGCTCTTTGGTAAACCACATTTTTTGTTTTTTGGTCTGACGTTAACACAAACAAAGCGGATGGTTTTTCAACTCGTGAACAGGCAACACAGGTTGTTATTGCGAACGCAAGCGAACTGGAAATCATTGGTATGTCACCAAATCGCCAGCAATTTTTGATTGAATGGTGAAATTCAGTGCGTGTACATCATTATACTTTGCGGCAAGAATTGCTCGTTGACTTAACCAAGCATAATTCTGATAATTCTCACTAATGTCATTACTCGTATTTTTAATTACGGTGCGTGAAGTTCCAGCAGCTTGCATTAAGGCACGATGCCATGCACAACTAATTTTCTTAGCTATGAACCTTGCGGAGCCCAAAACCTTTCCAACGAATGCAAAATTGTCGAAATCGGTTTGTGCGTTCTGGAGTTATATCGTCAGGAAGGAAAACCCGCGACTTATTTTTATATAGATAGAAGATAACCTATTTGAAATTATTTAAAACAATTGTTTATTATTTTTATTACTCGAATTTTTGATTACGGTGCATGAAGTTCCAGCAATTTGCATTAGGGCACGATGCCATGCACCACTAATTTTCTTAGCTATAAACCTTGCGGAGCCCGAGACCTTTTCAACGAATGCAAAATTGTCGAAATCGGTTCGTGCGTTCTGGAGTTATTTCGTCAGGAAGGAAAACCCGACTTATATATATATAGAAGATTATATAAGAATTGCTGCTAAAGTATATAAGTGAGCTTTAGAACTTTTAGCTAGAATTAAAATTAAAATGTGAATTATTTTCGATATTCAAAAAATTTTTTCGGATATGAAAAAAAAATCCGTAGAAACAATCGTTTTGTCAACACAAAGTTTTTGAATTATGCAATCTAATTCTCTCAAAATCTGTCATTTTTGCACATTTAGCTCCGTATCTCCAAAACGGCTGGACCTGCCTTCGCCAAAAACTAATCACCACTTCTTCCCATCATTACAAATTGAATGTTTTTTAGAACATTCGAATCGAATGCTCCGTTCTCTCAAAAACTCGATTTTTATTTTTTGCACTCTTTGCTCCATATCTCCGAAACGGCTAGACCTGCCTTTGCCAAAAACTAATCATTACATCTCCGTGTCAATAGGAATCGAATGTTTTTTGTACCATTCAAATCGGTTAATCCGTGCGGCCGAAAACGTGGAGGAAAAATTGTATCCATACATCCATTTTTTCTAACAATAAGGTATGCCAAAATGTTCAGAAACCTTCTAAACGTGAAGATATGCAAAAATTTTCAATTTTGATTTTTGGACGATCACAATAACTTACGCTACGGAAGTTAATTATGGTGAAAACGATGACAAAATATTTTGTACTTATCAACTTAATATGAAGAAAGGCTCGGCCGATCGGAGCCATAGATAAAAGAGTATAATCATCACATCTCCGTGTCAATAGGAATCGAATGTTTTTTGTACCATTCAAATTGGTTAATGATCAGAGCAACACCAAACAATTTTAAAATTTTGAAATGAGATGCAGCCGTTTTTGAGGAAATATTGATGAAGGTCAAACTTTGGCTTGTATATGCTACATCCTCAAACTTCTTTCAATTTCTGTGTAAAACGATTAAGAAAAACTTTAAACAAGAAGGAATAAAATTAGCAAATCGGATTTTTGGAGAAAACAAACTTTTTATTCCGGAAGTTAAACATGGTTTATATTATGTCTCTTTTGTTATGCCTTTTGAAAGAAGTTGGGCTAAATTATTAACTTCCCGAAGAAGAAGTTTCTTTTTGCGAAAAAAATCCGATTTGCTATTTTCAAGTTTTCTCGACATTCCAAGTCATTCTGAATCGAATGAGACCGAATTTCAAAAAAGTATGTGTGTGTGCGTATTTGTGAGCCAATTTTTGACCTTCCATCGATGCTTTCTCAAAAACGGCTGTATCGATTTAAAAAATTTAACAGTCATTCGATGTAACTCGATAAGGACTAGTGTTGATTAGTGCTGCGCGACAATCGGCCAAGCCATTTTATAATAAGCAGAAAAGTGTAAATTTTTAGTTCACGTTTTAGCCCATAATCTTGAACCCCTATTCAAAAATTAAAAAACTGTTGGTAAAATATTAGTTGAGGGAGGGGGGGGGGGTTCTGACAAAAAATCACGAAATATCACGTGGGGTAGGGAGGGGTATAGCAAGATATCACGTGTGTTTATTTTTCAACTGTTTTTTTTAAAAAAAATTCAATAATTTTCAAAAAAAAATTACAGTTTTATTACGTAACTAAAATACACGTGATGTTTGGTGGGGGAGGGGGGGTAATTTTGAATATCACCATGTATCACCAAGGGGGAGGGGGGGTCCAAAAATCCTTAAAAACTTGCTCACGTGATTAATGGACGCCTTCTAGTTAGTTTTTGGTAAAGATGGGAATTTGCCGACCTTGCAATAACTTTGTGTGACGATAGATTTTAGAGTCTAAAATAACATACTTATATTATAGGCCTACGATAAGCGGTTGAATTATAAAAAATTGCCAAAATTTGGAGTTGCGCAGCGCGCTTAAGCGATTTCTAATCAGATTCTGTGTCTTTCGTGCATTCCATGTTTTGTAGATAGCAACTGATTACATTTAACGTTGAAGTTGAAAAAAATACATTTTTAGAACCCGAAAGGGATGAATTAAAATATGTCAAATAAATTAATCAATTTTTTTCAATTGCTTATTGAATAATATATAAGTATGTCTGAAAGACAGGAAAAATTGGACATCGCATTGATTATTAATTTTTATTGAAAGCGAAAGTTGGATTTTCGAAATATCAATTGAGCATTTTACCTAAATAGCTGAATCTCAATTCTTATTAATTGTGTATACGTATCGAAAAGTAAATGTAGCTTGCCTTGGCAAAACGCTACTTTTACAACTAGTTTAGTGAAGATTTCTCACCATTGCGCTCCCAAATCAACTTTATTGCTTCCAAATGGTTTTGTGCAAATTCTGCCGCCAATTCTATCACTGGCCTCTAATACGATCACGTTTTTAAAGCCGCATTTATTTAATTTAACGGCAGCTGATATACCTGCTGCACCCGCTCCAACAATCACAACGTCTGGGGTCATTGGAATAACTAAGTTTTTTCGACTAAAGAATTATACAAATCTTAAGTAACTTTTTATATAATGAAAATCTTAATCATATCACAATCAATGCTAAGTTTTGAAATCAGAGTAAAGTAGAAAATTGGTTTTCCACACGTTTCCAAATTTACTATTCTCTGAACTGAATTCCATCAGCAACCTATATACCTAAAAAAGCCGGAATTTATAAACAAGCGATAAGACCAGTTTTGTTTTTCGCTTATAATTGTTTATTAAAATTTGTTTTATTATTGAATTCTATATAATTGGGCACTATTAATTAACTGCTGACGTATATAATTTATTTTAAAAATTACTTTTATTTATTGAATAAATCGTGATATTTTTCAAGGATAACATTTGTTTTACAATCTATGCTTTGTAAATGTAATAAATTTTCCGCAACTCTTAGATAAATTGTGATGCGGTCAACAAACTAAATATAAATGTCGGTCCATAACTCCATAACAAAGATAACTAGTGGTGTATGGTATCGTGCCTTAAAGGCAAATTGCTAGAACTGTTTGAATTGTTGAGGAATGTTTTTAAATAAATTATTATAAATACTGTAACATTGTCGACTGAACCTGCCTTTGCCAAAAACTAATCACCACATCTTCCTATCAACAGGAATCGAATGTTTTTTGAACCATTCAAATCGGTTGATTCGTGCGCCCAAAAACGTGAACGAAAAATTTTTTTTTGTATATCGAAAATAATTCAGATTTTAATTTTAATTCTGACTAAAGCTCTAATATACTTTATACAAATAATAACAATATAAATATTAGACTATGTTACAATATTTAAAATAATCTATTTGAAAGCATTTATTATTGAACATTCGAGCAACATTTCGTTACGGTACGGGAAGTACCAGCAATTTGCCTTAAGGCACGATGCCATACACCACTAGTTAGGCAATTAAATTAGATAGTGATGATTTATTGTGATATTGTGGTTCATATTAAAATATATTTTTGGAGGTTGGTGTATAGGTTTTGGGCGCTACCAGCGTCGAAGCAAAAGCTTGAGGTAAATAATGAGCGTCCAAAATCTTGTGCTGTAAAATTATTCCAGAAGGACGAACAGCCTAGAAATTTTTCCTTCTTGTTCGTTCTTTTGTACTCGTCCTTCCAAAGCAATTTTACTAGACAAGAATTGTCATAGACGTTCATTATTTAAACTTAAATTATTTTTATAAAAATAATTTAAGTTTATAATAATCAATTTTTTGCAACAGTATAAAAATACATATATGATAAATTCATTATTACAGGATTGAGCCTTTGGCAACATTGCCAAATATATTTAAATATTTTAATTAATACAAAAATAAAGTAAATTATAGAGTAATGTGAAATATTGTTTAGCGTCATTTTTACGCTATTGAATACGTATTAATTGTTAAAAATTATGCTACCAAATGCATTATATTCAAACTAATAGGAATATCCATAATCTTTGATTCACCTGAATCTTCATCCTGGGTTCTGACGTGCCCCGGAGACCGGAAGGTGCAAATGATATTTTTGAATATAATCTTACATCGGGAACAGCTCTAGAATGGTGCTAAAACCTTTTTTGAATAATCTGTTTGCCGTCTAGATGAAAAAATATACTTTAATGAATTGATTAATAAACACACAGTGTTAAACTTTTTCTTCACATTTCAAAAAAACTAATCTCTTTTAAAACTTTACTCCCGGTGCATTTTTTCGATGTCCACATGATCAGTACATGAGCATGATATAATTTTTTCATTTGCATTAATATATTTTCTGTTATCAGCAATTCAACTTTAATTTGAGAATAAGTTGATTGTAAAAAAAATATTTATGTAATTATAAGCTTTTGTAGACCACCAGATCCGCGCGGAGACGAACGCTGTAATAATTATAATTCAGTATAATAACATATTTCTTCTTATTGGATCCTAGTTTGGCTGATAGTCCTTTATACTATATGAACACATAATATGATGAAGAAAATATGCTGCAAAGAGATAAAATAAAGCAGTTTCAACAAAATTTCTTTTGCTATAAAAACTCTTAAATATCAAAAAAAATCCCACAATATGAGTCTATTAAATAGCAACAGACATATTGAGTTCATCAATATATATTTCTTACAAATATTTCTGAACAATGAAGATTCTAATTATGATAATGATTTTGTATACATACTTATTTTGATAAAAATAAAATAGGTGTTCCAACTCAAAATGTTTTTTTCTTGTTTAACTGCAATTAGTTACTTTATAACTTCAGGTTACATGTACAAATCATAATAGATGTTTTCATTGAGCTTTTATAAATTCAGTCAATCCTTCAAGATTTAAAATTTTGCTTGTATTTATTAAAACACGGAATCATAATATAATATTCTTTTTAATACAAAACAACATACTCACCCAAATTCAAAATAACTCACATTCACACTTAAAAATATTAAATATATGTACACAATTATTTAGTTTTCTCATGAATGTTTTTTCTTCATGGAAGGTTTTTCAAATATTTGTTTCATACCCGCTGCCTGATTATTCACAAATTTCATACTTTGTGCTGTATCAGTTATCCAGGGTGAGTCAAACTGTGTTGTGTCTTGATCTACTAAATGAGTGTATTTAGTACGTCCAGAACGACCAAAGTTTTTAACTTGCATAACCTGAAAGTAACATTTGTTTAATATAAATATGAATAAGCTATCCATTATCAATAATAATAATCAACGATTAAATTAATGATTGTATTAATTGTCAAATTCATATTTTTCATTCTGTTCATTACCTTTGGCAAAACAGTTTTGTCAAAGTGATCGTCCAATGTTGCTCCACTGAAGTCCTGCTTGTACACAGCATCTTCTTCATCCAAATAGAAGGCACCACGATGATAGTACTTTTGTAAAAACTTGTATTTTCCTTTAACAGCTTTATTGGTGATAACTTTAGGCTTAGCTCTAAGTTCTTGCCTTCTTTCCTCTTCAGTTAATGATCTAATTCTTTCAACTTCCTGTTTTTCTAAGAACATCCTGAAATAAAAAATAATTTAGTATTAGTAATAAATTAAGGAAAAGAACAGATATGTTTTGAAAAAATACATAATCTGAAGATAGAATTAAAACAATTAAAAATTATGCAAAGATTTTCAAAATATCAATGAGTTAATTATCACATATTGAAAAAATTCAAAAACCTTTCTCTTTCTTCACGATCTCTTTTAATACGTTTTAATTCTCTCAATTTCCAAGCTTCAAATTCCAATTCATCATTATCATCATCTGTATTAACATCTTCCAAGCGTGGATCTGTAGTTGAATTCTACAAAATGAAACAAAAAATTCAATACACTATTAGTAACTTTTATTGCATATTGCATACCTTGCTTTCTTGAATATCTTTCCTAATGCTTTCTTCAACCATTCTTAAAGTTTGCCGTTTACGCTCCTCAGCATGACGTTTGGCCTCTTGCTCTAATTGCTTTTGCTTTTGTGCTTCCTTTTCTCGTTCAATTAAAGTAACTCTATCCTTACGACTAACAAAGACAGGTTTCAGACGAGGCCCAGTTTCATTTTCTTCATCATCATCACTTTCATCAGTAGTATATTCTTCATAACTCTCAGAGGATGATCCAGAGCTATCTGAATCTATCAATAGCAGAAAACTTTGTTTATAATTTCTGAAATTAAGACATACTTTGTCTCTGACAGAGATAATATTAACTATCTGCGTTAATAAGTCAAATTTAAAATTTAATATTTATGTAGTTTATTTAATCAAAATTAACCTTTCTCTGCAGCTTCTGCTGCTGCAGCTGCTTCTTCTTCAGCTCTCCTTTTAGCCAACATACGCTCTCGAAGAGCTCTACGTCTCCTTTCAATTTCATCATCACTTAGGTCTTCTTCATCTGTGCTGCCGCCTCGATCTGAACCACTGTCTAATCTAATTGGTCTTCTTTCTAAAATTTCAACAGTCTCTGGAATTACCTCTTCTTTTCAATTTCAGGTTCACCCTCATCTAGAATCTATACAATTCAAAATATATTAGAAATTGAAATAAGTATTGGGAAATGGTTCAGTTTACTCTAAAGATGTTAATATATTAAAAGAAAATTATATATTGATAATTTTGCTTTCACAATTTAATAAAATGTAATTGAAAAATGTAAAAAATCTTTGGATCCTAAAATAAATCTTTATTAAAGATCAATTTAAAGCATATTCTTTAAGCACTTTTGGTTTACAGATATACATTATATGAATTATTAACTCTAGCTCTAATTGTAAGTTAATATATAAAAAAGTGCATGTTCATTAGTGGAAGAGAAGAACCTTAAGTTACATTTAGTGCAAAAGAGTACATCACTAAATCAATTCTCCGACGACACTAGTGTGATTGTAAAAAACATTCTTTAGAAGAAGTAAATACTAAATTAAATCTAGTTATGAATTCAATTTCGAATTGGTTCAATTGTAATAATCTTTTGCTCAAAAATGTCAAAACCCAAATTATGTCTTTTCGAACAGTAAATAGGATAAGTCATGAGATCAATTCTGTAACTATCAATAGCATTTGAATTTTCTTAGTCTCTAAAATTCTAGGTATCCAATTACAAAAAAAAAATTGAACTGGGACAATCATATTCATTCCATACTTGTACCTAAGTTAACAAAAAATTGTTTCATATTGAGGATTCTAAAATCAGAAGTTAGTTTAAATTTTCTTCTTTCAATTATTATTCTAATTTCTATTCACATCTCGCATATGAAATACAATTCTGGAGATTCTCATCATACTTAAAGGATATATTCAAAATACAGAAAAGAGCATTAAGAATATTTTTTCCCGCAGTTCCGACAATTTAACATTCTCATTGTTCCCTGTATATTTTGCAAACTTACGTTGTCATTCATAAAGAATAATCCCAAACGCTTCTACCTATCCTCTATGTCAAATTCCTATTATAAAACAAGAAATTTGA